AAAAAAATCGTTCTTGAGTCCCGCAACAGTATATGGAATTCAACATCTGTCGAAAAACTGTACGCAGACGAATGCAAAAGCCTAACAATAAGCAACCTGCAAGACCGCTTCTCAACGCCCACAGACTGTCCAGAAAACCGTTTGGGTAACCATCAGTAAAATTGGCAAGAAAGAACCCGCTTATGCAACATTTATGCTCTGTGTACCTTACAAAAACATACCACTTTGCGCATGTTACTCCTTGAATCTTGGAGGCCTTAGATGTTGTTAACAGTGAGGTGCACATTAGCCAACATGTACATAGAAGACCCGTAAGGCGAATTTACAAACAACATATACTCTAGAACATAACTGCGCAAAAAATACAGTAACACAGATTTTGGTAAGCGTGTTTGGTAGAATAAGCGGGTTTTCGAAAAGTGAAAACAACCGGCGCTTCATTTAAGTGTCATTATCTCGCCAAACCATTCCGAGACATCAGTGTCTGCATTTTCATTCCTCACGATGAATGGATGCTTCTGTAAAACTTGTTAGGTACTATGGTACTTGGTCTATTTAGTCGTAAACAACTAACCAAAATTTCGATGTACACCGGTCGTTCCTCAACGTTCCTCCTTAGACACAAATCAACTAGTTCACAAAATTCTGGTGTGAAACCATCCTGAAAGACAATTCGATCAAAATCGCTGCGCTGGCGGACATAATTCAAGTCTAATAGTGAGTATTACATATCGCTTTGGGAGCAAGATTTACAAAAGTATTTTGGGGAAGAGTTTAGAACATGATAGCAAACACGAGTTAACAAACCGATGGTCTCAGTGAAGGGCTTGGGTATTCGAGGATGGACGAGATTATTTGGAAGTCTGTCCCCTTGTATGGAAAGTGCCCAGTTGCCAGCTCTACCAGCGTTATTCCAAGCGACCAAACATCACTTCGTATATCATAGGGAGTATCTTCCTGCGTATGATCGAGCAGTCCTTGAACAGTAATGAAAAATAAAGCCAAGACGTACAGTTACCCGCACTCTTTCCGGAGCCATGTACGGAGGACAACCAGCTCCTTTTGACTTCGCTCTGCTTTCTATCAGAAAACCACTAATACCGAAGTCACAAAGTTTCACAACTCCATTCCAGTCCAAAAGTATGTTGGACGGTTTCACATCACGATGAATGACATTCTGCAATCAGATCAACTATACACTGGCATCTAATTTGAAATGCCGGAGCTTTCAAGCCAACTTTCTTAGTAAAAGAAAGCTACCCGGTTACAACTGTCCCAAAAGAATATTCTCGCGCATAGTTCATGTTGGCAGAAAGCTTTGAGAAATCAAAGAGAGGTAAAAATGAAGGAATGGATTACAGTATGCAGCCACGATACCGCGAAGGTAAAAAAATGGATTACAGTATTCAGCCACGATACCGCGAGCACCAAAGAAGAAAATATGAAGTCTTTGGGAGTTAGTTTTTGTGGTATGTACAAAAATGATGTTATGTGTTATCTGAAGGAACTTGAAAGTTGTTGAGGCGAAACGGAACGACCGATTCATGCGCCAAGCTTCTTGATAATGGCAAAAGTGGAGCCTTCAGTAGCCCAGTGAGAAGGGCATCGGTATAGCCCAAATTGACATAGATTCGGTGTCACCTTTGCAGTCCGATTACAAAGAAAATCCGCACTAGTAGAGGAGTCAATCAAGTTTTTTTATGTGAACTATCACTTAAGAAAACTGAGCAGATGTTGTTGTCGCAAGCCAGAAGAGAGTATGATAAAGCAAAGAAGGACCTTTACAAAAGAATTTACATTTTATATGTACTCCAGAATCGAAAATGAGAAAAAGCTCATTGGGATCCGGCCGCAAATAATATTATGGAATGGTGCAAAAACTGTAATTTTAAATCTTTCAGCGTAATTATAGAAGTTCCCAGAAAGAGAAAGGTACTTCTGGGATTTGTGTGATAATACGGCACGAGGGAATAAACTGTTCAAAACCCACATGATTCGTCTTGAGATAATGTAGCGCTTTTACTACGCTGACTGACATTTTCCCGACTATCGGCTCAGGAATTGGCGCGTTGTTCGTTCGCTTCAAAAGCAGGTCTAGACAAGTAGCCATTGCCTCCATACATATCATAACTTCATTCTGTAACAAGTAAGCTAGAGCGATTCTATATCAAGCACAAGATATTACAAGATATTACCTCAGTGATAATGTAACCATAAGAGTGGACTATATGAGGACAGTCATAAGCTCTGGATAAGATTCGAAGATCCATCATTATCCTTTTACTTTCAACAGGATTAGTACTTCTCGGCATGGACTGTAAAGTTTATATTACGTAACCGAACCAGCCAAATCGTCATAACCCCCTTCAATCTGAGAGTCAGCTGGACAAGAGGGAATGTTTTTAGCAGATGACAAAAAATGAAATTCGTCTACAATATTCCAAAACACAATGTTTTTTCACAACTATAGAGTTGTGCAAGAAATTAGTGTATGATATAGATGATGCGATACAGAGTAGCAGATGAATTTCCAATATGACACGAAGATTGAGTTCACTAGAACAAAACGGGGCGACAAAACTGATAGACAAAAAAATCGCATTTGCAGAAGCACGCAATTACTTAACTGTAAACATAAACAATTCACTCTAATTCACATAATGCCTTGACAGAAAGTTGAAAGAGAGCACGGTTCGGCACGGGTGGCAGACTAGATATCGTTTTCGGGACAAAAAGCAACGGGGGTTCCGTTTTTGAAGCCGAAAAGGTACAAAAAATGCGGAATTTTTTGTCGACGTTTTGTTTTTTGAGTTTTTTTTTACGTTTAAGGATGAGGGTTAAA